CCAGACTTCCACCTAGAAAGGTCTATCTACTAAAGCCTCAAGAAAAACATAGCCAGGAAGTTTTGTCATTTCTCTTCTGCACTTACCTGAAGGTCAATGTAGCCATCATCTGTGCTGGAAAGCCGTGAGTATTTTACTTTACTACTGGGGATTCCAGTAGCTAGGTTGGTACGAGATGGCATCATAACACAATGACACAGCTACTGTCTGCAACAAAAAGATGGTTATTTTCTGTGGGTGACAATAATATATTACAGCCAATGACTTCAGGAATTCTGGCTGCCTTGTCACACTGTATCTTGCAACTCAGGTTTCACTGTGCCAACAGTGAAAACCTCCTTAATTCTAATGCTAACAATGACAGCCAAAGACATTCAGGAACAGCTACACTCAGTTTATTTTTCATCATTGCTCCCTGCCTCTTATTTCTCCCAAAGTCATACAGAATAGCTGGAAGAGTGGAGACTTTAATCCAGGTCACCTGACACCAAAGTATGAATTTTTATCAACTCCACTATAGTGCTACTTTTTTCCTGCTCCTCCTTAGCATATATTCTTTGCAACTTCGTGGTTTGCCAGGAAGCATGAGAAATGGAACACATTCATTTCAGTATTTTGCCTGCTTCTTCTCAAGGGAGAGCTCCCCCCACCTTTTTATGGCAGTACTGTGATTTGAACTCAGTACCATCTCTTAACTAGGCAAGTACTCTACCACTAAGGCATACCTCTAGACCTTTTATGTGCCAGTTATTTTGAGCTAGGGCCTCACTTCTTATACAGAGACATTCCTGGACTATGATCCACCTATTTTAGATTTCCCATAATAGCTGGGATGGCAGGTATGTGCCATTACCATCCCTGGTTACTTCTATTAAAGCTTTTCCCTGACTTTTCTAAGGCTGATATGGAACTGCAGTACTCTCACTTCAAGTCTCCTCTGAAGCTAGGAGGACAGGATGTGCCATCACACCAGTGATGACTTGAGAAGGGGTCTCCCTAACTTTTCGGTATGGGTCAGTCTCAAACTTTGAGTGACCTGTTCTGAACTCAGGTCCAGGACAAGCTCTTTTACTTTTCCACTCACTTAAGCCACACCTCCAGTCTCAGCTTTTCACTGGTAACTGAAGTCTCTAACTGGTTCTGAACCACGGTTCCAAGATCTCAGATTTGAGTGGCTAGAATTATGGGTGGTATCCACCAGCACACTCAGCTGACTTTATCCTTTTAATGCAAAGGATCTGTAAAGTTTCTGGTAAATTTGTATAACCTCCTAGGTATGAATACCATACTAGTAACTTCAGCTATGCCTCCCTTTCTATCTTTACTAAAAGCAATTTCACCTTCTAGACTATGTAAGCTATATAAAATGCACTGGATAAAAATCTGGTCATTGTTAAAAATATTCATAGCAATCATGAAACTTCAGCTCCCTTGTCTAGCGCAAGCAAGACTTTAAAACAATGACAGCATAGAGAAAACTGAGTACTTCAATTAGAACAACATAAAATAACAAAAGAAAGACAGGCTTTACTTTGATCTAATTTTGATGAACATCATCATAATGGCACTATTTAGTCTTGTTTATGCGCCAGGCACTAATGTTTTCTAAATAACTCCAAAAATTAGCAAGCTGCTACTGTTGTTATAAAGTAACACTATGAAAGAATTCCTGCTAATTGCTCCTGTCCCTGTTTTGCTAATAATGTACTGGTCGAGAAATCAAGTAAGAAGAAAAGTCTAAGTAGTGGGCTGGGAAGGTGGCTCAGTGGTAGAGTGCTTGCCTTGCATGCATGAGACCCTGGGTTCGGTTCCTCAGCACCACATAAACAGAAAAAGCTGGAAGTGGCGATGTGGTTGAGTGCTAGCCTTGAGCTGAAGAGCTGAAGGACAGCACCCAGGCAGAGTTCAAGCCCCACAACCAACCAAAAAAAAAAAAAAAAAAGTCTAAATAATGCTAATACATAAGCTTTCTAAAAGGGGTTCAAGACAAGAACTAGCGTTTATAATCCTAGCTACTCACAAGGCTGAGATCTGACCCATAGCCATTAGAAGCCAGAACAAGCAGGAAAGTCCATGTTTCTCTTATCTCCACAATCACACACAAAAAAAGCCAGAAGTGGATCTGTGCCTTGTGTGATAGAGCATGAGCAGTGAGCGAAACAACTCATAATGTGCTGGTCCTGGGGTTTGAACTCAGGGCCTGGGTGCTGTCCCTGGGCTTCTTTTGCTCAAGGCTAATACTGCCACTTGAGCCACAGCACCACTTCTGGTTTTTCTGTATATGTGATGCTGGGGAATCGAACCCAAGGCTTCAGGCATGCTAGCCAAATAATCTACACTAAGCCACATTGCCAGCCCCTATAAATTTTTTTGAAAAGTTTCAAGCTGTGCTGTAGATTTTTAGTGTTTTGATCACGATGATATACTTATTTAAGTTTAAAAAAGTTCAAGACGGGGCTGGGAAGGTGGCTCAGTGGTAGAGCACATGCCTTGCATGCCAGAGGCCCTGGGTTCGATTCCTCAGCACCACAAAAGAAAAAAGAAAAAAGCCGGAAGTGGCGCTGTGGCTCAAGCGCTAGAGCGCGCTAGCCTTGAGCTGAAGAGCTGAGGGACAGTGCCCAGGCCCAGAGTTCAGGCCCATGACCGGACCCAAAAAAACAAAAAAAAGTTCAAGGCCAGTATGAGATTTTTAGGACATTTAATCAATCACACCTGACTTACATTAAGTTAACGTACTGTGCCAGTGCTATGCCACTGACTGTATATATACACAAACCAAAACAAAAGAAAATCGCAGTGAGAGAGACATGCTTTTTCTTAGCAAAGAAAATGAATTTATAAAGAACGGAAAAACTCAAAACGTAAAAGTATTTTTAAAGTATCAGTCCAAGTTTCCAACCAGATTTTGCCAGCGCAAACGTTAACGCCTGAATTTTCAGCACTTGAGTGCTATCAAGGAATTATCAAACCGTAAACCCGGAGTGACACAGGCCTGTAATCCTAGCTACTCAGAAGGCTAAGATCTGAGGAATGTAGTTCAAAGCCACTCAAGGCAATAAAGTCCGTGAGACTCTTAACCTCCAGTTGCCCACTGCAAAGCCCGAAGCGGAGTTGTGGCTCAAGCGGTAGAGTGCTAGCCTTGAGCACAAAAGCTAACGGACCGCCTGCAGGCTCTGAGTTCAAGCCCCAGGACACACACACACACGCACACATCGGGAAAGCGCCTGGGACAGTGGCTAGCATGAAGAGCCTTTACATACACTATCTTCCTGCCAGTCTCCAGAGGTTGCCAGGGACTGGAAAATGACCCGACGCGAATTTAGACGCAACACACGCAACACTGGCTGCTGGGCGAGGCCAGCGGCGCCTGCGCAGGCCAGCGCTTCACTCCGCGGCCTCAAGGCTGTCTTCGGCGGAAGCGCAGGCGAGGGCGGGGAAGCCGCGTCCGCTACAACCCGCTGCGCGCCCGCTTTACCGGAGCGCTGAGCCAGGCCGCCCGCGCGCGGGGAACTCGCTCACCGTTGCCAACCGAGGCTGCCCGGGACGCATGTCACGCACCGCCCGCGGCGCCCGCCCAACTGCCGCGCCGACGCAGGAGCCAGCGCAGCCTGCCGCAGGAAGTCACGTGGGGGTGGAGGCGCGCCGGAAGTCGCGTCATGGAGGCGACGGCTTCCTGTAAACTTCCTGGGTAAGTGGCAGGAAGTGGCCTCGCGAGTGTTGGCGTCTGTCGGGACCTGTTGGGGCTTGTCTGAGTTGTTTGTCTAGGGTTCGGGTCCCCATCTACCTGGGTCATAGTCAGGCCCTGCTAAGTAGTTGCTTCCCTAACTGCTGGGCCAAGGCGCAGGGTAGGTCCGAGGCTGAAGCAGTTGCCAATCCCCTGGCTGTGAAAGGCCCCGCGCTGCGCTGTCAGCGCCCTGCTGCCCTGGCCTCCAATCCTGGTGCTTTCCCTCTCCTGGTAGGAGGTCTACGTCTGTCCAGAAGGGATTATTTTAAACCACGAAACTTTTTTTTTGTTTGTTGTGGGGTTTGAGCTCTGGGCCAGGTCGCTGTCCCTCAGCATTTCAGCTCAAGGCCAGAGCTCTACCACTTGAACCACAGCGCCACTTCTGGTTTTCTGGAGGTTATTGGAGATGAGTCTCCTGGACTTTCCTGCCCGGGATGGCTTTTAACTGTGATCCTCAGATCTCAGCCAGTAACTAGGATTACAGGCGTGAGCCACCGATGCCTGGCACACTTTTTGAAAAGATCATTTAAGGTATAGTTTACATCAAATACAATTGGATGAGTTTTGCATAATCTTGGAGTGGTTACCAGTCTAGACCAAGTATTGCCATCATCTCAAAAGGTTGCCATCTGTATAGTTGAGTACCCCTGTAATCAGTATCCTTTCTCACCCATTGCCACAGTAACTACTGGTCATAATAAACTCTAATGCTGAATAAACTAGAATTCAGTCCAAGTACAAATCAAGTACGCCCAACAAAATATTGTTAGAAAGGATGACTGAATTTACTGGCAATTGTTTCCAGTATTTTTTTTTTTTTAAACAAATGCAGGCCTTTGCACTTTCTTGGGTGGTCTCAACATCCTTGAAATTTAATCCATCCTTTAAGGGAGAAAAAGCCCAAACATTCTCCTTAATTAAGACAACCCCCAAAAGTTTCTTGGGTCCATCTACCAAAGCTTCTTGAATTTAAGACTCTTGTAAAAGTCTAGGCTAAAACCATACAATATAAAGCTCATGAGACTTGGGGTGCCTTTAGAAGTGTTAATCTTGCTATGATGACAAAATACACTTGACTTAATCTGCTTTTCCTTTTTCAGTCTACTTGGAGATACAAAGTACGTTTGGTAATGAACTCATCCAACTCTCTGGTCACCAATTGTATTTGAAATATTTTGCTAGTTCTTTATTTACACCAATTTAACTCTAAATAGAAAAAAATTTACATTTACATAAAAGGGGTCATGGTCCAAATGAAGGCACTGTCCTTGGGATGTGAAATTCAGGCAACTTTATTTAAATTGGAAAACCTTTCGACCCTTTTGTTATACAAAAATTATAGTATTTCTAAGTAAGGCAAAAGTATTTCTAGGTTAACAAGATTTGACTTTGGATTTTAATTTTTAAACAAATTGTAGAGAAATTGAGCAAAAAATAGGTTATTTACAAAGCAGTATCTACATATGTACTCAAATACAAATTTGGTGCCAGACAAGACTTCAGTAGGTGCTGCTGTCTCGGGAGCAGTTCTCAAAAGCTGTTTTTATTTTCTTGGATTTTATGATCACCTAAGATCCTTCTTCATCCTCAATCTTGGGAGCCAAATAGTACTTTAAATGTCCCATGTCGGCAATTTTATACTCTACAACTGAAAGATAAGAAAACAGTTCATTACTGAGGAGTTTCCCATATATTACCTAAAAAACACTGTTCAAACTTAATATATTATCTTACCAAGAGGTACATCAGCAGACATACTGAGTGTTACTGTAGGAGAGAGTGGAGTGGCTTTTGTAAAGAAGTTCAGATACCTCAGTGCAAAAGTTAGCTGAACAGGCTCATTCATCTCTATGGTAACCTACAGGAGAAAATAGGATTCATTAGACTGAAAAAGTTGCACTCCATTTAATTCATAACATACATCAGAAAGCACACAAAAAACCTTTACACTGCAGGATGCTATTAAACTTTGAAGAAAATATTTAATCCTAATGATATTATGAAGTTCAGACTTTAAGGGAGTACTTTTTGATCTTGGTCCTAGGGCATGAACTCAGGCCTGGGCACTGTCCCTGAGCTTTTGCATTCAAAGGCTAGTGCTCAACCACTTGAGCCAGAACTCCATTTCTGGCTTTTTGGGGGAAACTAGTTGGAGATGAAGAGTCCCACAGACTTTTCTGTCTGGGCTGGCTTCCAACTTTAACCCTCAGATCTCAGCCTTCTTAGTAGCAGGAATTATAGGCATGAGACACTGGCATCTGGTTTCTTCATACTCTTAAAAAATGTTAGTGATGAGTCCCCTTATTTAAATTCCTATAGCCCATGACTAGGTATCAGTATTGCTTTTCTACCGTTTTGAACACATAAAACTAAGCAGACTAGGCCCCTGTCAGTGGCTCATGCCTGTAATCCTAGCTACTCAGGAGCCTGAGATCTGAGGATTGCAGTTCAAAGCCAGCCCGGGGAAGTCCCATCAGACTCTTTATCTCCAATAAACCACTCAGAAAATTGGAAGTGCTGTGGCTCAAGTGGTAGAGCTGTGGCCTTGAGCTGAAGACCTGAGAGATAGCGCCCAGGCCCAAAGTTCAAGCCTCACGACCAACCAAAAACAAAACAAAAAACAACCAAGGAGTATAGCCTTTTATCTAGATTTTTAACTCTAACCATATCTATCTATCTACTGAGTTTCTATCCTGTCCTCACTCACTTGGCAGAAGCAGACTATCTCCAGAAAGCTAAAGGCCAGACACCTAGCTTACTCAATTCTATCCTTAGAACATCTGTGGGTTTAATCCACAAATTTATTGTTCTTTGTTTTGTAAAAGAACTGCTGAATTTGTATTCCCATTTCAGACATCATTTTAAGTTAGATGACAAATCACTTCAGTATTCAGCAGTCTTCCAACTTTCAAATTACTTACAATGCAACTTTATTTAATATTAGCAAATAAGCTAGTGCTAAACAGTAGTACTAATGGTCTGCAGAAGCTATCGAAATAGAAAACTATACTACTTACAGCTTCCTCCTCTTTATCAACATTACTTGTTTGTGACAACTTAATATTTCCATTTCCAAGTTCTCCACTTGCAGAAAATTTCACTCCATCTTTTGCACAGGATATTACAACAGCATCTCCAATATGACTGAGGTCTCGGCATATACGTGCAAATTCACCAGAAGGCATCTTTACCACACAGCTGTACTCTTGTTCCTAGAAAATGAAACATTTTAAAAGACTAATTTGCTGAAAATGTATAGATCTGTGCTCTCACTTTAAGATGCAACATCTAAGTGGCTCACAGCTACAAATAATCTCCTATCTACCCAGAAGGCTGTAATCCTGAGGATCTCAGTTCAAAGCTAGCCTAAATTGAAAATCTGCAACACTCCCACCTCCAGTTAACCAGCAACAAAAGCTGGATTGAAGGAATGGCTCAAGTAGCAGAATACTGGCTGCAAGCAAGCTGAGCCAAATGTGAGGCTTTTCATATAAGCTCTGGTACTATTCTCCCCCTCCCCCCCCCCCCAAGTAAGCAGTAAGTCACAATGTAATACTTTCTAATTACTTTGTCTTGTGATCTCTGAACGCGTTCAACTATCCAGGAACAAAAACATCCCCATCATTCTCCAGAGCTAAATCAAGAGAACATTAGCGTATGACAGAAATGGCACAAGCACACCCATCTGCTTTCTAAAAGTAATAGACATATTAGGCATCTAAAACATCCCAATGTTTCCCCTCACCTTTAGTAAGAGCCTTAATGAGTTTCTCCTAATGAAGCTTTAAAATTATTCTTAAACAAGCACTTCACAAAAAACAACAAAGAATTGGGGCTGGGAGGTTGGCTCAGTGGTAGAGCGCTTGCCTTGCATGCATGAGGCCCTGGGTTCGATTCCTCAGCACCACATAAGCAAAAAGAAAAAAGCCGGAAGTGGCGCTGTGGCTCAAGTGGTAGGGCACTAGCCTTGAGCTGAAGAGCTGAGGGACAGTGCTCAGGCCCAGAGTTCAGGCCCCACAACCGGAAAAAAATAAAATAAAATAAAAAAAATAAAGAATTGACACAGGCAGTTGGCAACAAGCAATGTCTTCTGTGATTTCTTTAGAATCCTGGCTTAGTAAAATAAGTGCTATATAAAATACTAAAAGCCCATTTTGAAGCATGCATGCAGCAGTAGTCTTCTACAAAAAGCTACTAGTGTGCTCACTTCGGCAGCACATATACAAAAATTGGACGATACAGAGGATGCCCAAGGATGACACAAATTCGTGAAGTGTTCCATATTTTTTTAAAAAAAGCTATTAAGGCTTTAAACATCTTAGCTATCAGTTATGTAAGATATGTGCACAGTACATCCCTCAATTGGAAAGTGATACTCACTGGAATTCCAAGTTGTTCAACATCTAAATCCATTAACTTCATTTCATAGTCTGAAACTTTCTCTTGATCTACCAAAAGAAAGCAGATGTTAACTGAAGAAAAGCATGTGTTCAGAGCTAATATATAGCCATCCAAAAATTCTAAGAAACACTGTGCTTTTCATATTCTGTATTACAACTCCATTAAAAGGGTACCACTTACTTGGTGCTTCAAACACTAGCGCCAAGGTGTCTGCATTATCTTCAGCCCTTAGGGTAATGATGTCTTCATTGCCAGCACATTTTAATATTTTGGACATGCTAGAACACAAAACACAAGGTTTAAAATCAACACCATCTGCTCAAGATCTAGATTTCCAGACAATTACAAATGCCCATTTTCATCTGTGAGGAACTGGTGAGAAGGGTACAAATACTTTTTTGGGGAGGTGTATATGGGTTCTATGATTTGGGAATGAATGCAAGCTGTAGAATGTAAATACAATACAGACAGCAATTACATCTTTGGGCATAAGTGAAGAGTACTTTCTGAATACCAAGTCTCTTCAGCAGGAAAACTAAATTTAATCAGGCTGCGGTATTAAAAACTGAATTGGAGGTATGGTTCAGCACCAAACCCGAGAGCAAATTCCCACCCCAGTATTACAAAAAAAACCTACTGAAACATGCACGTAGCCTAAGTTTTCCAGAAACACCGCTCCCCTACACCTTCCGTTTCTGAGACACGGTCTTGCACGGAGCCCAGGCTTACAGGGGCCATGGCCTCAGCCCCTCGAGTGCTGGATTACAGGTGGCAGCTTTCTCATGAACAGGTGGTACTAGTTCCCTTAAGGAGAAGCCATTACCCTGGATAATTTTTTACAAATGTTCAGAATCTTAAGATGCTCACTGTGACGCTAATAAATGAAAGGTTGGAAACCATCTAGTGACCCTACATAGGGTGGCGGGGGCACAGTCTCATTAGGGCACATTAAAAGCCCTAAAACGGACGAAGGTTTGCCTCTCAAGGCTAACATTTAACGAACTAACAACACAGAAGCAGTCTTTTTCCCCCGCCACCACGCGCTTTGTGACTTTGGCGCGGAAAGGGCCGGTCCCCGCGGTTGCCAGCGCGGGCTTTTTCGGAACCGCGGGCTCCGCTGAGCTCCGCCCCCAGCAGCCCGGGCCAATGAGAAAGCGCGGATCCTCCGCGCCAGCCAAAGGGAGCCCGAGTCGGACGCGCTCCCGCCAAGAGCCGGCGCTGGCGGAGCGCCAGAGCCCGGAGCCCCACCAGCCCCGGAGCTCACCTGGTGAGGTTCACACCCATGGCCAGGTTGCGGTCGCAGCGGTACGTGTCGAAGCCTTCGGAGCGCAGGGTGAGCTGCACCAAGGAGACGTGTGACGAGTCCATGCTCTGGAGGTTCACGCCTCCGGAGCTGATGTCCCAGCAGGCCTCGTTGATGAGGTCCTTGAGCGCCTCCAGCACCTTCTTCAGGATGGAGCCCTGGACCAAGCGCGCCTCGAACATGATGGATCCGCAACGACAGCTACACAGATGAGGAGGCCTAGCTGGCTTAGGCTTCCCGGGGCTCCGAGCGAAGACGGCGGAGACGAGAGTCTGAGAGCCTGGGAGACGACGACCAGCCGCTGCCCCTGCAACCGTTTAATGCCGCTGCTCCCGCTAACGCGCGCTTCCCGCCCCTGCGCCCCGTGCTTTACGTCATCACGCTGATGCCGCCTACCTCTTAGGCAGAGGAACTGCAGGACCAATCGCATTCCTGGCTCGTACAAGGCCTGCCCTGCCGAACATCTATTGGAGGATGAGGGCGGGGCGCGCGCTCAGCTAGCGGCCCAAGGCCTGTCCCGCGGCGTTTAGCGGCTCTCTTGTTCCTAAGTCTGCCCCCTTCGTTCTTCCCTGAGTCCTGTGTGCCTGGCGTAGCTAGAACCGCCGAGACCCAGGTTGGTGGTGCCTCCTCTGCCTCCCACTTCCTAGCAGTTTCCAGCTGTGAGAGGGAAAGTGAACCGGAAACGAACCGGAAGACGCCGCCTGCTAGCCTCAAATACGCACTTTATTTTTGCATAGAAAATGTTTGGTGTTCAGTTCCCTTAAGAGTTATCTCGGAGGCCGGGCAGGTGGCTCGCTTCTGTGATCCTAGCTACCCTGGAGGCTGAGATCTGAGGATATCGCGGTTCGAAGTCAGCTGGAGCAGGAAAGTCTGTGAGACGTACCCCCAATTAACCAGCAGAAAGCTGCAACTGGAACTGGGCTTGCGTCAGTCAAGTGCCAGCCTTGAGCAAAAGCCCAGGCCCCTCCAACCTAATACTCTTAAATCCTATATACGGGTTTAAAATACCGTCATTATGTAAATATAAAGGCTTAAAGTACACTTAATTTTATGCTATGTGCAACGAATATTAGTGCCTCTCAAAAAGATAGATATCCCATGACATACAACCCGATTGATAACATTTGTGTTTAATACCAAATCACAGTGTACTCATTTTGCAGACACCTTTTGGTGCTGAGAATTGGTCCCAGTGCCTCACCCGGGCTAGGCGTATACTCATGGATTCCATGTATCCACCTGCTGAAGACATTTTAAATGGCAATCCAACTCCACAGATACCATACTCACAATGTGCACGAATCTGTGGAATGAGTTTAAAATGGCTGTGACCTGTGATTGGAGAAGGTCTGAAGTGGTGTTTTGCCTGAGAAACTAGCTGTTTGTAGCAGGGAAGAAAGAATATTCTAGGTTGAGAAAATAACATGATTAAATAGATTGGTATTAGGGCTGGGCATGTAATTTAGTCCTGGAGTGCTTGCTTAGACTTGAGTTGTGGACTCTTACAGCAGTGGAGCAAAGCAAAGCAAAGCATACAAGGGTAACTTATCAAAAGCTTTAGTTATACAGTAGGAGATTTCATTATGTTCCCACACAGGTTTACAATCTCACCCCCTTTAAACACTCTCCCTCCTTTCTCTACCACTGAGCCACCTTTCCAGCCCCCAATCTCTCCCTCCTTTCTCAATGTACGTTTTGTGAGAATCTCTTATAACATCTAATAAAATACTACTATTCAGTGGGAGAAAGAAAATTTTACTCTAATTTTAACTTTTAGAGAATAAAGCTATAGATGCTTCCAAATATTTATTCATCAAATTACAATGTGGCATACACCTGTAATCTCAGCTACTTAGAAGGTTGAGATCTAGAGGACCTCAGTTCAAAGCCAGCTTGGGCAAAAACATTCGCAAGACTCCATCTCCAGGGGCTGGAAGATGGCTCAGTGGTAGAGCGCTTGCTTTTCATGCCTGAGGCTCTGGGTTCGATTCCTCAGCACCACATAAGTAAAATGAAAAGACAACTGGATCCCCCCGCAAAAAAAGAGTATAAGACTCCATTTCCAAAATAACGCAAAAGGCCAGAGGTCTGAGTTCAAAACCTAGTACTACCCCCTCAAAAAAAAAAGTCTAAGTGACTTTTTTTTTGTTGTTGTTGTTGTTATTTGTTTTTTGTCGGTTGTGGGTCCTGAACTTCGGTCCTGGGCGCTGTCCCTCAGCTCTTCAGCTCAAGGCTAGTGCTCTACCACTCAAGCCACAGCGCTACTTCCGGCTTTTTCTGCTTATGTGGTGCCGAGGAATCGAACCCAGGGCCTCATGCATGCAAGGCAAGCACTCTATCACTGAGCCACCTTCCCAGCCCCCTAAAGGAAATATATAGCTGGGATCTAGAAGCTCACAGCTGTAATTCTTTTTTTTTTTTCTGCTTATGTGGTACTGAGGAATCAAACCCAGGGCCTCATGCATGCAAGGCAAGCACTTTACCACTGAGCCACCTTCCCAGCCCATCACAGCTGTAATTCTAACTACTTAGAAGGCTGAGACCTGGAGGATCAAGGGTGAAGACTCATGGAGACTCAATCTCCAATTATCCAAAAAACTATCACATTGAAGCCAACTCAAGTGGTAGAGCTCCAACCAAGTAAGAGCTCAAGGCCCTGAGTCAAGCCCTGGTAACTACACACACACACACACACACACACACACACACACACACACACACACACACACACACACACACACACACACACACACACACACACACACACAGTATTTTAGCAAATATGAGATCTTGCTATGGGTTTCTAAACATATGGACTCCTTACAAAACATGAAGAAAGACCATGTAAATGTTTTAAAATATATAGACCAATAACCATTATCATGTGTTAGAAACGGTACATAATTGCATGTGATTTGTTTTATACAACTGGTAATGTGGTAGGCTGGTTTATACTAGCATCGACACACACAATCATCATCACACACAATGTTATGCACTAGACATTAGGACAGATATGGCATTAGCATATATTGGGAATTTTTCAGCTCTCCTGTGATATAACAAGACCACTTTTGCCATATACACAAGGTTAGTGGCCTAGAGATGGCTGTGCAGCTCTTAGCTGTGCTTGTCCTGGCCCTTTTGGCTGGTTTACCCCAGTGTAGTCTGGGAGGACACATGAGACCAGAAGCAGGTACGTTCCTGCCTGCCTATGATGAGGACTCAGAGCGACTTGCTCTTTTGTGGGAGTTGAGGAAATACTGAATTTTTTTTTTTTTTTTTTTTTTGGGTCCGGTCGTGGGGCCTGAACTCTGGGCCTGGGCATTATCCCTCAGCTCTTCAGCTCAAGGCTAGTGCTCTACCACCTGAGCCACAGCGCCACTTCCGGCTTTTTTTCTTTTTGCTTATGTGGTGCTGAGGAATCGAACCCAGGGCCTCAGGCATGCAAGGCAAGTGCTCTACCACTGAGCCACCTTCCCAGCCCGAGGAAATACTGAATTTATAATACCTTTTGGTCAGGAATTTACATATCTTGTCCACCAACTCTTCCAAAAATCTGGCAGGTCCTACTTTGCCTCCCCGATCTCTCATTTAGGCTCCATAAACATCCCCACCAGAGCCTCCTCATTTCCCCAACCAGAACACCAGTCTTGCCTAGCTACCAGTCCATTTGTTCCCCTTAGGCTATGGGATCAAGTATGTTTTGAAACTTAGATATGCCTAAAGTACTGCACTGACAAGTACACTTCAGGTTTCACTGGCAAAGAACACAAACTGATTTAGATAGTATTAAGTTTTGTAGGATGCTACAGATTTGGACCAGGTACTAGCACTGGGCCCAAGAGACCATAGAATGTAATGATAGTAACTGAGTTTTGATTGGTTACAGATGGTCCTGTAACCCAGGAACTAATAAGCTGTAAACAGTTAAGCTGACACATTGCTGGTTGACTGATTAGGCTGAAGCCAGTTAGATGTTTACTAGTTCTTTTTTTTTCTTTCTTCTTCTATAAATGCTGTTTGAGCTGGGTGATGGTGGCTTATTCCTATAATCCTAGCTACTCAGGAGGCTGAGAACTGAGGATTGCAGTTCAAAGCCATCCCAGGCAGGAAAATGCATGAGATTCTTTTTTTTTTGGTCCGGTCGTGGGGCCTGAACTCTGGGCCTGGGCACTGTCCCTCAGCTCTTCAGCACAAGGCCAGCGCTCTACCACTTAAGCCACAGTGCCACTTGCAGCTTTTTTCTTTTTGCTTATGTGGTGCTGAGGAATAGAACCCAGGGCCTCAAGCATGCAAGGCAAGTGTTCTACCACTGAGCCACCTTCCCAGCCCCTGCATGAGCTTCTTATCTCCAATTTGCCACCAGAAAATCAGAAGTGGTACAGTGGCTTAAGTGGTAAAGTGCTTGCCTTGAGCTGAAGAGCTGAAGGACAGAGCCCAGGCCCAAAGTTCAAGTCCCATGACTGACAGAAAAAAAAAAAAAATGCTGTTTGATCACATTGCTAGCCGAAATCCTCAGAACCTTCTTTGGTTCAGGGAGCTGGTTGGCGCTTTTTTGTGTGCTGGTACTTGGGACTTGAACCCAGGGCCTACACCCCCAGCTCTGTATTTGTGCAGTGTTGTTAAATAGGATGAAGTTCAGAGTTCCAGGCTCTTCCAAATCTGTTTTACTGTGCCTTTGACACACCGTTGCAAAAACCTGAGAATCAGGTCATAAAAATCATGAATACATAGTGCTCGTCCAGAAAGCTCAGTAATTACCCCAAACCCACGGATCAGATTACAATTGTGGAAAGGAAATTGCAACTTCTTTTTGAAAGTATCTCATATGGTTGGATTAAAATATAGTAAGTAAAGCTGAACCGCTAATAAGTGGTTCACATCTATAATCTTAGCTTCTTAGGAGGCTGAGATCTGAGGATCTTAGTACAAAGGCAGCCTGAGAAGGGAAGTCTGTGAGACTCTTCATCTCCAAAAAGCCAGAAGTGGAGCTGTGACTCAGGTCATAGAGCACTAACCTTGAACAAGAATAAAAACTCCAAAATAAAAGAAAAAACCTAATTCAGGGACAGTGTCCAGGCCCTGAGTTCAAGCCCTCCAAATCTCTCTTCCCCCTACAAACACACACACACACACACACACACACACACACACACACACACACAGTGAGTGAAAGTGAGGGGGGGAGGGAGAGAGGAGATAGAACAGCCTCAAGGCACTGCTTAGAGAGATGTTTGATGAACGTTGATGAAAAATTTCTCAATAAAAGAAATAGGAAAGAGCAGGGCACTGGTGACTCATGCCTAAAATCCTAGCTACTTAGGAGGCTGAGATTTGAGGATCAAAGTTTGAAGCCAGCCTGAGTAGGAAAGTCTATGATCCTCTTATTTCCAAATTAACAAGTAAAAAAAAAACAACAACAACAACAAAAATCTATAAGTGGAGAGCTGTGGCTTAAGTGGTAGAGCACTAGTCTTGAACACAAAAAGCTCAGGGATAGTGTCTAGGTCCTGAGTTCAAGTCCCAGGAGCACACTAGGAAACACTAAAGCCAGCACCTGAAACACCAGAAATGCTAAAAAGTTAAAATATTGTGAACTTATTTATAAAATGAACATCATATTCATTTTCAAGGAATATGTGTATTCAATGAGATTAACTACACCTATTACTCAGCTCCAATTATCACTCAGTAATTACAGTCACAGTCTGGCAAGGCAAGGAAGACTGAAGTTTGGTTTCATTCCTTATGTGATCTTCTGTCATCCTCCCTTCCCCTTATTTTAAGTTTGGTTTTGAGACAGTATCTACCTAAATTGCTCAGCCTGGTCTTGGTAGCCCTTTGTGATCCTTCTGTTTTCGGCCTTCCAAGTGCTGGGATAACAGGCATGAGCCCCCACCTGGCTTCATACATTCATGTTAATTAGGTCTTTTGTGAAGCTCCCAAAGAGAGGGCATTTTGAACATCAATAAGGGTAATAAATACAATTGATTGAAAAATATCCATTACTTTAAAATATATGAATTCATAATGATACTGAAACCCCATTGATCACCACGGAAGACTGCTAGTAAACAACCCTACGGTTAAAAGGAGTAGATGAGGGGAAAGAATCAGCATTTTTTTGGTTCCGGTCCTCGGCCTTCAACTCAAGGCCTGGGTGCTGTCCCTGAGCTTTTGTGCTTAAATCTGGTGCTCTACCACTTGAACCACACCACCACCTCTCTTAGTGGGTAATTGTACATAAGCCTCACAGAGGGACTGGGAATGAGGCTTAGTGGTAGAGTGCTTGCTTAAAATGCATGAAGCCCTGGATTCGATTCTTCAGTACCACAGACAACCGTAAGGAGCGCTGTGACTCATGTGGGAGAGTGCTAGTCTTGAGCACAAGAAGGTCAGGGACAGTGCCCAGGCCCTGAGTTCAAGTCCTAGGACAGGCAACAAAACAAAACAAAAACAGCCTCACAGACTTTCCTGCGTGGGCTGTTTTTTGTTTTTTTTTTTGGTCGTGGGCCTGAACTCTGGGCCTGAGCGCTGTCCCTCAGCTCTTAGGCTCAAGGCTACTACTCTACCACTTGAGCCACAGCACCACTTCCAGTTTATGTGGTGCTCAGGAATCCATGCATGCAAGGCAAGCACTCTACCACTGAGCCACTTTCCCAGCCCCTGCGCGGGCTGGTTTTAACCGTGATCCTCAGATCTTAGCCTCCTGAATAGTTAGGATTACAAGTGTGAGCCACTGGTGCTCAGCTTTAAATTTAGGACCTACAAAATCTCCTGAAGTGTGTGCAGGAAGAGCTGACGGATGAAGACATCAAGTACGCATCAGGCTAGACCTCTGGGTGGCGCCTTTTACCCTCAACAAACCTCCAGGACCTTGGGAGCTCGCGGCTGCCACCCGCGACCTGGTGGGAGCTTGCATTGGCTAATCTCTTTCGGAAACGCACGCTTTTCCCGCCCTCCTCGCGTAATTATCCAATACACATCTCTTCTTTTCTCTCCGTCCCGCCCCCATCGCCCCGCCTAGCTCTGGTATTCGCGCCATTGGCGGATAGCCCGAGCGGACATGGCGGCCGTGCGCCTGCGCGCTGGGTCCGAGTCCTCTTCCTGGAGGAGGAGCGAGCGGCTGAGGCTGAGGCGAGCGTACTGCGCTGTGTCGGGGTGAGAGGGCGGAGGCGGCGGCGGCGGCTCTGGGCAGGGCCGGGCTCTGAGATCCGCAGCCGGGCGGCGGTAGGGCCGCTGCGGAGCCGCGCGCCGTTCGGCCCCGGCCGAGGCACTCCGCGAGCCGGCGCCGAGCCGCCGGTTCTGGTGGCTGCGTTGCCGGCCCGCGGCGACATCGCGCCGAGGTCTCCAGCATGACGGAGTTGAGGCAGAGAATAGTCCGCGAGCCCGACGCACCTCCGGAGGACAAGGTGGGCGCGGCCCGGGCCCGGGTGGGGGGCCGCGGGGCGCGTGCTGCGGGCCGGCCTCGCCCCCCGACCGCGGGTCGCGGCCACAGTGCCGCCGCGCGGCGGGGCCCGGCGGGGTCTTGGGGGGCCGGGGTTCCGCAGTTGCCGGGCGGCGGATACGCTCTGGGGCGGGGTTGAAATGACTTGGGGGGCGGCGGGGAAGGAGCGCCCTGCGATGGCGTGCCCTAGGGCGGGGCGGCCCCCCACCTACCACTCTGTGTGGACCTGAGTGTGACGCCTCAGTACGCCTCTGAGTACGACTCGGGACCACCCGCTTAAAATGCCATTGTGATCGTTGTGATTAATGCTGTGATGGTTCTTATTATTTGGGGGTTCTGGGGATCAAGGCCATTAGATTGGTCTCCTGGGAGATTTGAGCCCCTTCTTGGAAGTTAAATCCGCTGGGTGTGATCAGAGAGGTTTCTGGACTCACAGAGTGAACCACCCCGTTAGTCAGCAGGTGTTGGAGGATCTTTCTCCCAATGGTGGGCTTGATTCCTGTGCCAGGTGTGGGTATGGCGGGTGTGTGTGTGTGTGTGTGTGTGTGTGTGTGTGTGTGTGTGTGTGTGTGTGTGTGTGTGTTTGTGATGAAGGTAAGGAGGCCATCTTGTTAGGGACACAGCCAGTTATGGGTGGGGGGTGCACCGCTTTGGTTGAAGTGCAACGTTTGTGTGTTTAGTTTACTGTGGGCATAGAATGCCATCATTAAGGTTTGGCGCTTTGTGATAGTTTTTGTGCTTTTCGAGTTAGCAGTGGCCCAGGAGCAGCGTATTTGAAAATTCAACACGCAGTGTTGTGTTGAATAGACAGGCAGAGTCTGGGCCGGAATGATGGAGACCCATTAACTCTGAAGTTGCCAACCTGCTATCTTTGGCCTATGTGTTTTTACAAGAAATACAAAGATTTCGGTTAACAATCAGAATGTCTTGTCTGGGACATTGGAGGATGGCTCATCACGTTGTCACTTGATTAATGGTTTGCTGGAGCTTAGGATCATCTTTCCCCACCAATCCCGATTGCCTTATACCAGGCCCCCAGCACCTGCTTCTGAAGTCTGTTTCTTTTGATTACTATTTAAAGGGTGCTAGGGAGACTCAGGAAGGAAGCAAACACAAAATGTGGTACAGGATGTCCCCAGAGCAGTTTTACAAGGAGGGATTTTGTGTGTGTGTGTGTGTGTGTGTGTGTGTGTGTGTGTGTATGGGCCTGTGTGGGCCTGTGTGTCTGTGCCTGCTGATCCTGGAGCTTGAACTCAGGGCCTGGGTGCTGTCTGTCTCTGAGCTTTTTTCCCTCCTCAAGGCTAGCACTCTACCACTTGAGTCACAGATCTACTTTTGGCTTTTAGGTGGTTAACTGGAGATAAGTCTCATGACTTTCCTGCCTATGCTTAGCTTCACACCATGACCCTTAGATCTCAGACTCCTGAGTAGTGAGGGTTTTAGGCCTGAGCTACCTGCCTGTGGCTAATAGTGGGAATTTATTTGTTTGTTTGTTTATTTGTTTATTTATTTATTTTTGCCAGTCCTGGGGCTTGAACTCTGGGCCTGGGCACTGTCCCTGTGCTGCCTTTGCTCCAGGTTAGTGCTCTACCACTTGAGCCACAGAACCATTTCTGGCTTTTTCTGTTTATGTGATACTGAGGAATGGAACCCAGGGCTTCATGCATGGTAGGCAAACACCGTGACCACTAAGCCATATTCCTAGCCCCTGATAATGGGATTTTTTTATTTTTTATTTTTTAATTATTATTATTTTTTTTGGGTCTGGTCGTGGGGCCTGAACTCTGGGCCTGGGCGCTGTCCCTCAGCTCTTCAGCTCAAGGCTAGCACTCTACCACTTGAGCCACAGCGCCACTTCCAGCTTTTTTCTTTTTGCTTAATGTGGTGCTGAGGAATCGAACCCAGGGCCTCATGCATGCAAGGCAAGCACTCTACCACTGAGCCACCTTCCTAGCCCTATTTTTTAATTTTTTTATTGTGAAAATACCGTACAGAGGGGTTATAATTACATGGGCAAGGTAATGAGTGCAATTCTTTGATAATGGGATTTTAAGCAACTTTTTGTTACTGCTTTTTTTTTTTTTTTTTGGGTCCGGTCATGGGGCCTGAACTCTGGGCCTGGGCACTGTCCCTCAGCTCTTCAGCTCAAGGCTAGCGTTCTACCACTTGAGCTATAGCGCCACTTCCAGCTTTTTTTCTTATGTGGTGCTGGGGAATCAAACCCAGGGCCTCATGCATGCAAGGCAAGCGCTCTACCACTGAGCCATCTTCCCAGCCCGTTACTGCTTTTGACAGTGGATCATCCAAGGGGAACTGCACATACTGATTTTCAGAATGTTTTACAATAGGTTTATATTTAGAGCTAAGGTACAGGTTAGAGTTCCTTGCAAGGATGAGGTATTTTGAAGTCTCTAAGCCTCCTGTTGGAATATTCTGGTCTGGCCTGGGAGATCTCTACTCAACCCTGCATATGACTGATGAGTAATCAGATGTTTGAAGATCTAACCATGGTGGATCATGTTAGGGTGAGATCATACTTCTTGTTAGACTCTGTGGATCAAAAAGTTGAGGAGAAAGGACAATTCATAGCTGGTGGGCTAAACTTTTTTTTTTTTGTGCATTGTGGGGCTTGCACTCTGGGCCTGGGCTCTTCAGCTCAGCTCAAGCACTCTACCATTTGAGCCACAGTACCACTTCCGGTTTTCTGGTGGTTAAGTGGAGATGAGTCTCGTGAACTTTCCTGCTCAGGCTGACTTTGAACCATGATCCTCACATCTCAGCCTCCTGAGTAGCTAGGGTTACAGGCACGAGCCACTGGCACCTGGTTACTTTTTTTTCTTTAAGCTATTCATAATTAGACACCGCAGGTGATACTGGTGGCTTATGCCTGTAATCCTAGCTACTTAGGAGGTTGAGATCTGAGCATTGATGCTCCAGGCCAGCCTGAGCAGGAGTCTGTGAGACTTTTACCTCCAAAAAATGTGAAGTGGAACATAGCTCAAATGGTAGAATGTTAGCTTTGAGGAAAAAACAAATACCCATACCCTCACACACCTACACATACCCATACACACCCACAAATTACACATAGCAAACAAAGCAAAATACTAACAGCCATGAGTTTATGAGATAGCTTTTATCTTCATCACCTAATTCTTTGGGTCCATTCCCCAAAGATTAAGTGTCTACATTGTTTAATTTGCATGGATTAGTTGTACGTTTTAACATGTCTGTTTTTTGTTTTGTTTTTGGTGGGTCGTGGGCTTAGGCACTGTCCCTGTGCTCTACTGCTTGAGCCACAGTGCCACTTCCGGCTTTCTAGTAGTTTTATTGGAGATAAGAGTCTCACCAGGGCTGGCTTTGAACCGCGATCCTCAGATCTCAGCCTCCCGAATAGCTAGGTTTACAGGCGTGAGCTACTGGTGCCTGGCTTTAACATGTCTGTTAACACAATACCTTGATCACACGCGTTCCCTCCATCACTCTCCTTCATCCTCCTGCCCTTCTTCCCAAACCAATCTTGAGCTTTATTCCATTTTACACATGTACATAAAGCAACCGTATTCACCTTCTTTCAGTCTCTCTCTCAATTTGCCCTCTCTCTAATATCCCCACTCCACAGGACCTGTTTTACAGTCTTTTTTTTTTTTTTTTTTTTGGTCGGTCGTGGGGCTTGAACTCTGGGCCCGAGCACTGTCCCTCAGCTCTTCAGCTCAAGGAGAGCACTCTACCACTTGAGCCACAGCACCACTTCCGGTTTTCTGGTGGTTTATTGGATATAAGAATTTCACAGATGGGGGCTGGGAAGGTGGCTCAGTAGTAGAGCGCTTGCCTTGCATGCTCAAGGCCCTGGGTTTGATTCCTCAGCACCACATAAGCAAAAAGAAAAAAGCCGGAAGTGGCGCTGTGGCTCAAGTGGTAGAGCGCTAGCCTTGAGCTGAAGAGCTGAGGGACAGCGCCCAGGCCCAGAGTTCAGGCCCCATGACCGGACCCAAAAAAAAAAAAAAAAAAAGAATTTCACAGACTTTCCTGCCCTGGCTGGCTTTGAACTGCGATCCTCAGATCTCAGCCTCCTGAGTAGCTAGGATTACAGGCATGATCCACCGGTGCTAGGGTACAGTCTTGTTTGTTTGTTTTTTAAAGTATATGTTATTTGTTTAAAGGGGTTTCATCAAAATATTTCATTTATGCATATACTGTGCTTTGAACAGAATGACCTCACTTATTCTCACTTCTCTTAAAGCAGACAGATTCTTACTTTGCTCTCCGTGTTTTAGGTAGGGAGGGCATGAGGAGCTGTCCAGCCAAAGGTGCCTTAATACATCTGCACTTAAACCACCTATACAACCAAAGGATGCCTTGTTTGTGAGTTCTGCTAGGTGTAGGCTGTTCCTAAGATATAGCAACTATCCATTTTGTTAGTCTCTTGTGGGCCATTAAGCTCAAAACAAGGCAGTCAGTCCTTTACTCTCTTATTTAGTATATCTAAATTGTCATGTATGTGATTTTTAGTAAGGGTACATTAAAAAATTGTGAAATACATTATTTGCCTTTGATGAACTTACTCATACATAATTTTAAAAAGAAATCAGTCTTATGTTTCCTGTTTTGGAGAAAAATCTATCCCCATGATTCTGGCTTTGTCAATATCCTGTGTTACTATCTAAAAACATTAGAAATAGCTGTTCCATTGAATTGTTATGACTTCTTAGGGAAATAAATTGTGAAATGAGAATTAGCTTACTTCATAGTAGAAGAATCCAGAGAAAATTCTCAGGTCAGTTCCTTTTTTGGTCGTGGGGCTTGAACTCTGGGCCTGGGCACTGTCCCTCAGCTCTTCAGCTTAAGGTGAGTGTTCTACCACTTCAGCCACAGTGCCACTTCCCGTTTTCTGGTGGCTAATTGGAGATGAGAGTCTCATGGACTTTCCTGCCCAGGCTGGCTTTGAGCCATGATTCTCAGATC